CCACACCCACACCCCAAATCCACACCCACATCCACACCCACACCCCACACGCACACACACACCCACACGCCATATCCACACGCCAAATCCACACGCCACACGCCACACCCACCCACACCCACACCCACGCCCACACTCACACCCACCCACATTCACACTCACCCACACACACCCACACACACCCTCATCCACACGCCCACACCGACGCCCACACCCACACCCTGTCATACTGAACCTTTTAGGGTTTTAGTAAAGATTCTAAACCTTTTAAGGTTCTAGATTTGGGTACCATGTTCAGAACTTATTTTTTGGTTCTAGCCAGCGAGGATAGAATTCCTTAAGGTTGCAAACTTTCTGACTAAAACCTTTTCCAGTTCTAGCGAACATGTGTAGAACTGAAAAAGGTTCTGAAAATGGTACCGAAAAAAAGGTTCAGTATGACATCTTTTTTTTAGAGCGTACTAAGTACACCTGATGAATACTTGGTACTTTCATTTTTACTTATAAGAGTAGGAGTAATACAAATCCAAATACTTTCGTCTGAGCACTGGTATTTTCGGTGTGAGATCAGTAAATTCTGCAACAATTTTCTCTAAACTGGAGCACACAACAGAAAACCCAAAAGTACTGGAAGCGGGACTAGGACTAAAAGAACTTGATCCCGCGCATCTGTGAGCAGAATTCTATCTGATATTGTATGGAACTCTATCATCGATTTTCAATGATCAAACCAATAGGATCCGATGACTTTCGACTTGATTTGGTCGGTTTTGGCTGCTGTTCAACGAAATGCAATTCAAACAGAGCAGACATCTGATAACAATTTTATGTAGCCTAAGAAATTTCAATCAAACCGATGTGAGTTATCGAGTCTAAAATTCAACCTTTACTGTTCGCTGCTCACTTGAGTTTCTTATGCCGATCTCTGTACGTCTACTTGGTGACTAATGTTAGAAAGCTTATAGTTTTCCGGTATGAAGTATGATCAATATCTTTCAACGAAGTCTATTAGCATGCGTTCCATTCGATGATCACCTTATGGCCATTCTATCCGCGACATTGTTTATTGATGATTTCTAATGGGACTCAACTAATGATTGCTTGTTTCGAAGTTGATGTAGGAGGAGGTCTTAGCTTAACTCAAACACTCATAAACGCAATCGCATCAACACATACCCCTAGGATCTGGAAATCTATAGTGACTTGTTGCAGTATGAAAGAAAAGGTACATCTAAATACTCGAGCGTACCAAAATGTGCAAAAGACGAACGATCAAGTGTTCGTGTTCCTCAGGAGCCGAATTCCATTCAATAAGAACACTGACACTCCTAACTATGATTATTAAGAAGTCTAAATGGATACAGACTCTGAGTTCCTGTCCTTGAAAATTATTCATATAGTTGGAGAAGAAGTTTTTTGAATGAATAACATACCGAGGACTACCGGGAATTTGAGATCTAAAAAAATAAATAGAGATAGAAAAGACAAATTATAAGATGAATTCATAATGTTTACGAAAGATTAAACGAGAAATCGTTGTATAACTCTCATAGCTTAAGCTTACATCGCTTCTTTACCACATCGGAAGATTTTCGATTATTTATTCAAAGAGAGCAAAAGATTGTAGAAAAATTAGAATAGAATTCTGTCGTTCTAATGATCAATTAATTTTTTTAGGCGTTTATATCAAGTAAAAAATGTCCAACAAAGACTCAATTGTGGCCAATATAGTATCGGAATGTCTTGCCGAAGATTTCACTTTTTCTGTACCTGAGCATTATATAATTATTTGGCTGGATTTTGGTCCTGGCGGGCTGTTCGACACTTCGAATTTCACTTATGCTTACCTCTGGAATAATGTCGATGTGTCCAAAAATAGATTTATCAATTGTCCACTCTGCTATAATCATGTGCTATCATTACGTGATCGACAAGAGAAGTTGTTTGTCATTATCACAGATCCGAAAAAGCCTATGGTTAAACGGGATTTATTTTTATAATGGAGTCGACTTTTATTTGAACCGCAAGTTTCGAAAATTTATGTCATACAAACAAAATTTGACTTTACGTTCTATCGTTATTGGTTTCAGTTTAAACAACATCAGAAAATGTATTTTATTCCGAACGAAACTTTACTTCTAGAACAACTGAGAAAAACCAGAACTGCAAGTACTATCACGATCTGTTTAGATACTGGAAGAAGTGAAATCGTAGACATTAGTAATTATGGTTTTACTGAACTCTTTTCTGATGCTACAAAATGTTTCGATTATATAATATCAAACCGACATCAACAGATGATTTTAGTAATCAATTCACAAAATTCAGATGTATGTACTTACTCGCTAGCAATTTCAAAGTTGTTTTCCACTAAATATTATATTTACATGCTGTCAACGTTATTAGCCATCTATATTTTGACGAGTACTCGAACGAAGCAAATTGGTATAAAACGAACAGATTTGTTTACTAACATTGGTATATTTCAGAAACAGTTAGCAAGTGATACTTCTCCAAACTCGCCTTATCTCTGCAATGACGAACTGATTTATTTTTCAAGTTTAGACACCTTAAAAATGTCATTGAGAAATGTATCCACAGAACGATTCTATTACTATACGAATATTATTGCACAAATGCCACAGACATCATGTGCGAAGATAGAAATGATCGAAGAATGTCGACAATACTATCAAGACGATCCTGCTGAACTGCAGAGAATCGATATTTTTGAGCATGAGTACTACAAGAAAAAGCATGGCACTGCTATTTGGTGGTATACCCGAGATTCGTTTCTTTATAGACGATTAAATGAAGCTTGTAGAACAGAGGATATTGATTTAATATATACGTTTCGCAATTTCATTTCTGATCTGTTACAACAACTGCAGGAAGAATATAGAAAATTCTATAATAATATGTGTGGTGTTCCAATAAAAAGTATATAGAGGACAAAGCATCTCCACTTATGAATTAGATCATCTCAGAAAAAACGTTGGTAATATGTATTCAATCAATACCTTTCTATCAACAACAGGAGACCGTAATGTAGCAGGGTGTGGGTGTGGGTGGTGTGGGTGTGGGTGTGGGTGTGGGTGTGGCTGTGGCTGTGGGTGTGAGTGTGGGTGTGGGTGTGTGGGTGTGGGTGTGGGTGT